CCCTTTGAATTGTGCTTCTCGCGCCAAGTGCGCACAAATCGAGTGCTCAAGACTTTTGAAGTAGGTGGCACTGCATCAGGGCTCTGTAGAACCTGCAAACGCTCCAGCCTCTGAAGTTCAAGCTGGTCTGCCAGTGCATCCAAACGCAAGAGCTCGTCAGCACTCAGTTCTGGTTCTTTGGCTGAGTGAGGAAACGTGAGCCGCTCTATGATCTTGGACATGTTTGCATCGCTAATCAAACATGGATCATCTTCATGAAGAAACTGATCATCATAAAATTCCATGTCGTACTTTTCCATCTCATCAACATCATCATGACTGAAGTCGAATTTCACTGGAAAATCTTCGTGCTCGTAAAGTCTCAGGTCAGTGCTTGTCACCTGAAGCATTCGTTGTTGATCTGGAGAATTTTCAAGCCTCGGAGTCTTTGGGGCTCGCTCACCTGAAGGATCCATGGTGTCGTCCCTCGGTGTTGTTGGCTGGTCATCTCCAACACGTTGCTTTTTGGGGCTACTAGGCAAAACAGGGCTGTCTGCCTCTCCACGCTTTTGAGACGTTGTAGGTCCAGGTGCATCCATGGACCCACTGTCAATGGCTGTATCAGCCGTGTTTGAAGCCTTTGCTTCACCAGTTTCATTCCCCGCCTCAAGCGGATACTCTTGATCCGAGTCTGAACCAACATGCTTAGCAGCATAGGTTTTAACATGTTCTGCATCAACATCGATCATAGGTATGCTGACTGCAAGAGGTGGAGAAATGTTCTTGGTGTACAACATACGGTGGCCCAAAGAAGCATATCCATGGTCCCAAGGCGATGTTGTGATCTCGCCCAAGGGTTCAAGCACGAATGGAGTTGGCAGCCTCCGCACTGATCTCGTCACGAAAACTCCCTCAGCATGAATGATGATGTGGCCATCATTTGGTAACGCTTTTCCAACCCAAATGCCTTTTGTCCAGCGTGGTGCAGCCTTTCTGCTTGTCTTGATGTAACCCAAAACAACTTCACCAAACATGCACAAGCGTCCAGTGTAGACACGATCTGCTGAACGCTCAAATGCAGTTGTACCACCACTCACAACATATCGATTGTGAAGCCATCCAGCATGCAACAATGCCCAATTGTACAAGGGATGAGTGCAAGGAAAAATGATTCGTCCACCAGCAACTGCTTCCTCGATCTGGTTGATAAGAATCCCTGCTTTCAGTCTGAGCTGCTGCAAGGTTGATTCAGCAGCTCCATTGCTTTGATGATCACCCCTCAAAATTGGCTCGTGGTGCACAACAATACCCAAGCCTCTGCATGTTTTGCGAACTCCATCAGCAAGCGCAAGGTTTGAGGGCTCCAGGTCTGAGCGCAAAGCAACTTCTCGATGTTGGGTGTGCATGATGAAACGAACAAACTCTGCAACCATGTATTGCAGTTGGCGTCCACCTTTCTGCAAAGTTGGAATTGCATGTACCAGTTTTGTGTCGCGGTCATGCAAAACAAGCACTGTTTGTTTGTCATCTTCACCAGGCATTCTTGTGCAGTAGCAAAAATCAAAACTGATCACGCTATGTCCTGCATTCTCATGAGAGCTCTTTGGATGAGCATCTTGTCGGGCGCGGTGTTTCACACAAATCTCACACCAGTCTTTGTAAGGCTCATGCGTCAGATTGTGCTGTTGGATCTCCTCAGGAGTTGGCACCTTTGGCACATGTTGGGCCTTGGCCTCGCGCTCACCTTCTGCTTTCAGTTTCACTTCAGCACCATGAGCAGCCAAAAGTGTCTGCATTTGCAAGTGATCCAACATCCTTTTCAAACACATCTGCTTGCTTCCACGTTTCGACAAACCAAAACTTTCACAACCTGCACGCAAGGCACGCAATGGACTGTTTACAGTGAGAGCCGTGCCATCGATATAGACCACAGCCTCTTCCTCATCACATGGCACTATGCGATCTTCCTGAAGAGGTTCACCATCCTTCAAATCAACTGGAATTTCATCTGCAGCGTCACTCTTGATGCTGGGATCATACCCTTCACTCATCGCATCACCAGGTTTGGCTTTGTCAGCAAATCTCAAACCTTCGTGTGTTCTTTCTGAACTGAGTCCGTAGTCAGGCATGAAAAATCCCAAGCTCTCAGAGGGCACTGCATACTTGTGGGCGATGGTGACCACCTCCAAGACAGTTGAAGGAAAAACAATCTCCTCATCAATACCATCTGGCAATTCACCAACAGCTTCACAAAACTCAAGCACTTCCCAACCACCACCTTCACGAAAGCAAAGTGTTGTACGCAACCACAAAAGCTCTTCTGAAGGTGCCAGGGTTGTGTCAACATACTTCGGGGTTGTTGTTCGAATTGCATACGTGTGTGGACTGATTCTGTTCCATCCTGCAGTGAGATTTCTGAGAACTATACCAAGCTGAACTGCTCGAACAGCAGGCAAAGCATCACCTGGATCCACTTGACTCACCTTTGAAATGGAACCTCGAGCGCACAAGGAGTTGTTCTTGTAAAGCACTTGAATGCTATGATCGCCCTTCACAAGGCATGGTCCAAGCTCTGATTGAACAAGACTCCAACCTGATCGAATGATGTGGCCCAGTGCAACCAGTGGTGTCGTGACATCTGCAATGATGAACTTCTCTTTGAATGCAACATCACCAAACTGCAAAGTGGCAATCCTAGTTGTTGCAACATCCAATGGACAGCCTTGAGCATCAACGTACGTAGAGCTGGGTGCTGGGCCAGAAGTTCCAACACTGCTATAGCTCAGGGGCAAAACACTAATGTCAGCACCGCTGTCCAAGATGACATCACATGAAACTGCATCATCTGAAAGTTCATCAATCACCACTCGAACATGTTGCAAGGCATCTGAAAACGTTTCAACACCAAAACAATCACACAAGTTGAGGTCAGGGCTAAAGGTCCAACATGCATCATGATCTGTGCAAGTCATGTCATACTTTACGCAAGCATTGCAAACCTCTGAAGTTTCTGAAATTGCACAAAGTCTGAAGGGGCTTTGTGAGCTCGATGGTTGTGAAAACACAGTGAGGTCCTCCATGTACGGGTACTGCTGTGTTGGTTCAAAAACTGAAACAACTCTGACAGCTGTTGCAGACGCAGCTGAACTTCCAGTGGTGTGTGAAGTATCCTTTGGATCTTCTTCCACCTGTCTCACCTGAAGGTCAGCTTTTCGTTTGTAGCAATCTTTCTGCCAGTGTCCCGTTTTCCCACAGTAGCTACAAGTGTTAACATCAACCTTCGAAGACTGCTTGCCTTTCGATTGTCCTTTGTTGGCATCAGACAACCCTTTGCCATTGTATGACTTGCCCTTTCCCTTGTCGTTGGACTTGCCCTTGCTCTTGCCTTTGTCAGAGCCAGACTTGCCCTTTCCTCTTCCTTTGTCACCGCTCTTTCCTTTCCATTTGCCTTTTCCTTTCTGCACTGCATTGACTTCCATAGGTGCGGCACCTCCAGAGTCGTTGGCATAGCTTGTAACTGATCCCAATGGCGCAGCACCAATGTCAGCTAAAACTCGATCTTTGCTCCAAGCGTGAGAAACACGTTCATAGGATAGGATCTTCTGTTTCACTTGCTGAAAGTTCGTGGTCTCTTCCATGGTCAGTTGAATGTGCTGCTGCAGGTGACGCGGCAACACTCTAAGCAAAGTGCTCAGCAAGATGTCGTCTGAAACTTCTTGCCCACTTGCCTTTCTGTATTCCTCTGCCAAACGTTCCAAAGATTGCAACTGCTCCAAGCACGTCTTGTCCTTGGTAAACATTGGAAATCCCATAAGCGCTGTCAAAAGCGCCATTGCTCGCCCCTTTGTCTTAGGGCTGTACAAGTTGTGCAGCTGTCTCCATGCCTCCAAACCATTTGAATCCGGAATCTGTCGCAGAAGTTTCAGCGGTCGATTTTTGAGGATACCTGCAAGGATAGAGTACAACTTCTTACTGCGTTCTTTTGATGCTTGTCCAACTGGATTATCCTGATAGGCAACTGCTACGTTAGGGTTCTCCTCCACGTACTTCACATCAGGCTCGAAACCATTGTCAGCCAGAAAAAGCCACTGCTTGAAACTGAAAGCGAAATCCGACCACATTGATTGGTCTTCCGTGGTGCTGGTTGTTCCAAATTCCTTAGGACATTGGACTACTTTGCTAGCTTCACCAAATCCAGTACTGCGTCTCTCATTGGCATCCTTGAGAGCTTGCGCAGCTGTAGCAGCTGCCTGCGCCGCTTGCTGAACGCTTTGCAGGAGCTGAGCTGTGTCCATGCTCTCTTCTCACAAGCCAGAAAACGCACTGTAAATCAGGTGTGAAAGCCACTGCAGGGTACAAGCCACTGCAGAGAATCCAGAATTTGCAAAACAGCAAATTTCAAATTGAATCCTGTGTTCCAACCAGTTGCCAACAAATCCAGTCAGGCACCGAACGCTTATGGCGGTTCAACCCTGTGGGATCGGGTCCAGTCCCAAACTGGAGCAAGCCGAGATGTGGGTCCTGTCTCGGTCTCACCCCTGGAGCTCACCAACCCGAAGGTATGGATCCTCGCTCCGCTACCATGCAACTTTTGCTTGAGAAAACAAGCGCCTCAGATATGAACAGATACTACACCTGCTATGTCACATGGCTGAGTGCTCCACAACGCAAATTGAATGTACTGCTGACAGCGTTAACATGAAGCAGATATGAATCCTTGGCGACTGCAGGAGCGAATCCTTGCAGGCCAATTTCCTTCCTGAGCTACTCGGCAGAACAAAAACAGATTGAAACTGATCCCATTCATGGTCAACAGCTTGCTGCGGTGCTGAGGATATGTCTTCACGTGCTGGGTTTCCTTCCTGTGCCTCAACTTATGAAAGGCTACATACGAGATGTGCAGAAATAAACGAGTTGTCAGGCAGAAACGGAATTTGATCATTGTTGTTACAGCTGTTATAAGTGCATTTGCTCATATTTTCTCTGCCTGAAATTTGGACCAAGCCAAGGTGAAAGAAGTGATGAAACAGAAAGTTCGGGCAGTGTCCAGCAATTTTGGCTGCCACAAGGCTGGTGGACGAAAGGATCAATCTTTGCATTCCGATGTCAACTGGCAACTCTTTTAAGATGGTGCAGGTCTGGCTAACTCACTTGTTTCGCTTGGTGGACATAGATACACTTCAGCCGCTGAGTGATGTACCGTCGCGTGGCTGAATGCAGCAGTTTGTGGTTATATAAGTTATATACAGCAGTTTTGCAGGTTTTTGCTGTGTCAAGGGTTTGCTGTTTGCGGTCGCCTTTCATTGCCAGTCATTTTTTAAGCTGGGATATTTTCCAGGGATGTTTGTATGAAGATCACTCTGGGGAAGAGAGCAAATCGCATGTCGTTGCCCGCTCTTCTTTGTGATTGCTTACTTTCTCGTTTCCATTCCTGACCCTTTTCAGCTTTTGTCCTTGTCCTGTTCACCTTTCTAGCGTACCTGCTTCTCTTTTCTTTGCTTTTCTTTGGCTCGTTTTTCTGCTTCACCTACATCCTTTTGCCTCTCCCTTGCCCATTTCAACTGCTCCTGCTATTGCAACCCAACTTGCGATCCTGATGACAGAGTGTGAGCACTCCAGCCAATGCCAGTTGGCTAGGACTTTCACTACCGGTAGTGCGTTGCTTTAGGTGCAATCTGCTACTCAACCCACTCCCAAATCCCACTCCCAAACCCCACTCGTAAACCCGATTCCTCGTCACCACCTCCCACCTCCCCCCCCCCCCCCCCCCCCCCCCCCCCCCCCCCCCCCCCCCCCCCCCCCCCCCCCCCCCCCCCCCCCCCCCCCCCCCCCCCCCCCCCCCCCGCCACAGCCACCGCCACGGCTGCTATTGCTAGCCATTTCGAAGTTTAGAAATAAACATGTGTGTATGCAGCATATTCACTTCTCAGAATCTTGTCCTCTCAGAGGTCAGAACCTTGGTGACATAATGCCTAGGATGGCGCGAGAGTGGCATCCCATTGAAGAGTTCACAGCTTCGATGTCGGTGACGCGCGTTGAAACCAACTCGTCATGGTCTGATGTCAGAGACAGACTGCTGTCAACGCTGCGACTTCGTGGTGATTCTTCAGAGGGCGTCCAAGGTGGGGGAGGTTTCGCAAAAGCAGCTATCAACTTGTGCTGTGATTAGACGACAAAGGCTTCCTGCATGTAGCCGACAAACAAAAGGTTTTTGGGAGGCAGCAAATTAGCCAAGGAATGCCAAGGAGTGTTCCAATGCAGGGATTGGAGTGCATGATACTCTTGTCGTTTACGTACCTTCTTTGCGCCTGTTAGGCTGCTTGCAACTCTGGTTTGGCCCTTCGAAGCGGATTGTCGGAGGCAAGCACCTCGAATATTTCAATTTCATCAACGCGAAGACATTGGCTACTTGCGGGCTTGGAAAGAAGCAGGCGGGTTGCGACACACGCCAAATATGCCCAAACTGTGGACAGGTTCTTGTTGTTTCCCCTAATACACCACCCGAGGTTGAGGGGTTTCAGGGCCACGTCGCGGCAAAACGACTGACTGATTTGTGCTGAGACACACACACACACAGGCCTGCAGATTAAGAGGAGAATGGCAGCCTCCTCGAATTAAGCTTGCCACATGGCCTGGAATTTTATGTGCCCATGACTTTCGCAGTGAAACAACAGAGGCTCAAAAGTTGTCTGTCAATGATGAATGCATCAGAAGCGGGCAAGCATCAGAGACAGGAAAAGGTTGAAAGGTACTGAACGATTGACTGAACGATTGTGAAAGACTATTTATCAAGGGTCCAACAGAATGTGCATGAAACATCCTGAAGAAGGGTTTGTTTCATTTTATTTTGTTTTTCAATTCGCACCAAAAGGACCAGTTGTCAAAGTTGTCACCATGTTTGGTCAACAGGACATGCTACTGTGACGCAACTTGGAGGCCCACTGAGGTGTACATAGACTTCGGTAGACCTGCAAGACGCTGAAAGCGATGATGTCTACTGGACAATGACGGGCGTAACATGAAAGCACTTTCCTGGACGCGTTTCCTGGAATCCTGTAAAGTCTCAAGCTTGCACAACCAGTTCAAACAAAGAAGTGCAAATGAGTCATCTGGTTCCAGGACTGCAGATTTGATCGTGGGTCTGCGTTAGAAGTTTCCTTTTTTTCACACTTAACCATTCAAGTTTCATGCAATCAAACATCAACTTGAAAATTGGCAGTTTCGAATTTGAATGCATGTTCATTCCATTCACATGTTTCGGATGAAGCTGAATTTATTCTCTTGATGGCTCCAAGCCATGTGTGTTCTTGGAATGCATTGGTTTGAACGCGTTTGCATTTGTTTCTTGAAACAAGCTCGCAGAGTGAAACGACCGAGAACTGCCAAAACCGAAACTTGCAACTCACTGATGCACATATTTGAACTTACTGTAACTGTGCTGCATTCGCACAAACAACCTTGTAACCTTGGACATACAGTACATCCTTGGAAGCCATGGCCTCGGCGAAGGAGCTTTTGGGTTTAGACGATGTTCTGTAATGTTCCTGTCCACATGCTACAGTAGTGGATTTGTCATAGGCCACCTTTTCGATAATCATTGGGTACATTGGCTAGGTTTTTTGGGCATCTTGTCTTGTTGGGTTCGTGAGTTTGTGTGAGTCTTTGGCTTCTGTGGTTTGTACAGCTGTGCGGAGAGCCCTTTGCCAAAGGAGACCTCGACGCCAGGTGCAGGCAGTGCCCTGACCAGAGCTGAGGCGCGTTCAGCAAGAAGTGGTTGTGTACATACGCTTCTGAGGATGCATGTTGTTGATTTTTGATGCACGTTGATGATTGCTGATGCATGTTGATGCACTTCATGCATGTGATGCTTGAAGTGCGCTTTTTGGTTGCTCCCAGCAAATCTTGAGGGACCTTGAAACAGTGGTGTTGCTGTTTTCAGCTGGGGATTTTGACATAGCGTAGCTTTGAAGATTTTGATTTCATGACTGAAAGGTCGTAATTTGATTCAAGATATTCAGGCCTTTAGTGAATGTTTTCACAGGCAAACTTTCCAAGAAGCATTGCCTAAGCTTTGCTGAGGATTTTGCCTAATTTTGTGATGTTTTGTGGTGTTTCTTTGGGCTGCTGTGGTTTGTACAGCTTTCCGGAGAGCACTTTGCCTGAGGAGACCTCGACGCCGAGTGGGATGCAGTGGCTGGATAGTTGTCAGGCGCTGTCAGAAGGCTGTGCTTGTGTACAACCATTCCATTGGTGCATGTTGCTTAATGATCTTAATGCTGATGCTGTTGTCACGTTCGTTCAGTTTTTTTTTTAGAGTGCCGTAGCTTGGGGCATATTGATACAGTAGGTAGATATGTTAACCAAATACAGTGGGGTAATAACTAGGCAAGTCAATACTAATACTGGTGCTATTCTGGGCCCCTCATATAGGAAGCGCAAGTTTTGGATGGGTTATTGTTTGGCCCTCGTTGCTTGCAGGATGATCCCACCCAAGACATCTTAAGTACTGGTTTCGAATTGGTGCCAAAGCCTAGCTATAAAGGGGAGACGTATCAAGCAGGCCCATGCACTTATTTGCGCGCTGTAGGTTCTGTAGCTTTTCTCGATGGCTTTGCAGGTACGTTAATAGAGCATGCTCAGTGCCAGATGATCGTTTTGCCATGTTTTGCCCGCACTATTATTGCAATGCTGGGCACTTTCAGTTCTCGGCCGCGCGAAAATGCGCAAATTATGATCCCCAGCGATTAACTATCAGACATCATGACGTTTCTTCAAGACATAGCTTTGGACCTCACCCCATTGTCCGGAACACGTGTGCATTGAATGTTTTAATATCTCCGGCCCACCTCATGTACAAAAGGCTGCAGCTTCCAACAAAAGACCCTGCGATACCCCAATTGACATCAGCTAAAATTTAGGCTTGTCCAGAATCTCAGAATGGGGACCCACAGACCCCTCAAGTTGTGACGGTCAAATAAGTGTTTTCATTTGAATAGGAAAAAGATATGATAAACTGTTAGATTTGGGTCAGACAAAGCCATTGAGGCAGACCTGCAAGCGCTTCCAATGAAAACGCGCGAGAGCACAGAGAAGGAGCGACGGATGCAAGGCTTGCAGGTGAGGCGAAAATGCAGATTTTCCATGATTTTCCCATAATCCAATTCGGGGCTTATGCTGAAGTCAGGTTACCATGTCAAGTTGCCGCCAGCCTTGCCGCCTTGGGCCTGAGGCAACTCAGAAACAAGTTAGACTCTAACTTGTTTCTGAGTTGCCTCAGGCCCAAGGCGGCAAGGCTGGCGGCAACTTGCAGTTAGACGAGCTGCGAGCCACCAGCAGCTCGCTGACACTGGGGCTGCAGCAGGCTTCGATGGGTAGATGATGGGCCCGGGGCCCGCAGAAAGCAATTGAAGCCTTGAGTGGCTCAGATTTCTGGGTATTCTTCTTTCACTTTCACAGACGTTTAAGCAGTGTCTCACAGAAAAAACAAATGACTCCTCTGATTTCTTTGGTCTTGACACATCTTGGCACATCTTGACGCAGCATCTTGACGCAGCATCTTGACACAGTTTGCACCCCCCTCAAACTCCATCAGTGATCACCATGGCATGGTCAGTCTATCTTGGAAAATCACGCAGGAAATCGTTGGGTTTGCTCATTTGGTTGCTGGTGTCAAACATGTTTTTCAACCCTGTTTGGGATGATGGTCCGCAGATGTCCACGATATCTTTATACATTTTCAGGGGGTCGGTTGAAACCAGCAACCAATCGTATATGGATGTATATGGTTTCCGTCTTCACCGCTGTCCAGAAAGTGCCAGGCCCTGGGTGCAGCAGACAACTTGCAGCAGAAGATCCAGGAGACTGAACAGCTGCAAGAGCAGCACCGAAGGCAACTGGAAGCTGCCGAGCACGAGTTGCCTGATCATGTTTAATGAAAGCAGGCGCAAAATTCAATTTCATTATCCTGTGTGCTTGTTAAAAAAGGCAAGATTTGGCAACGTGGAGCAAGGGGATAGGAAAGAGCAAGGAGAGAGAGAGAGAGAGAGAATGCAACAGCATGCAACAGAGTTGGTAGGCACCCTGAAATGAAACAAAGATGGCAAGCAAGGGGGAGGGATGTACCTGAAACAATCACAAGGTCCCAGTTTGTTGTGTCGTGGGCGTCAAGAGAATGGAGCTGGTTGATGCTGGGTACCAGCACTTGCTCGACAATTGTGGACATTTACAGTATATTACGATCCATTTTCTATGGTGCTATGTAAGTCTCGGATGCATACTGTATAGAAGGATTGCTTCCCTGATTTCTTGATTTGTTTCCTAGCTTTAGGGTAAACCATGAGAGCACCGTCATTGTTTCATACGCCCGGTCGTTGTTACATTTCACACTTCACTGATGCAGTGACTTTTCTCATAATCTGGTCACCACATGTCACCACACAATATACTCAACATACTGTATCGTGCTGATGATTCAAACTATGTTCCATCCGGATTCATAGTCACTCAATGTGCCTCATATACTTGTTTTTTTTGGGGTATGTTTTGTTTCGAAAGCACTTGACATCACCAGTGCGCTCTGCCGTGTCCCACCCCATGTCCGTGCACCGAGGTTTGTCGATGAGAGAATGCAGTACCAGCAACGGCTGGGGGAGATGGAAGCGCAGCTTGCGCATCAGGAGCACCTTGCCATCCCTTGTGGGGAGAATGATGATGAACCAGTGGATTTTGGGGTTCTCACTCAAAGATTACATCATGTGCTATCATGTGACAGCACATCTGGCAAAAGAACGCTGTGCAAGATGGTTTCTTACCGGCAATTGCCAGACATTTGGTTCCATGTCGACTTTCAGGTGTCTGTGTGTGTCCGTACTAGTTACTAGTAGACGATACATGTTAATCTATGGCCGGCCATTGATTTCGGATTTGTGCCTGATCCGTTGCCAACAGAGGCCCTTTGCGCCCTTGCTCTGATCACAATCCGCAAAACGATGCCAAAAGCAAGTCTCCCAAAGTTCAAATGTTTGCAAACGCTGTAGATGTAATATCTTGTAACCGTTGCAACCTGTACCAGTAGTACCGCACAAGGCGGTGGCGGAAGTTTCAAAAATAGGAAACCTATAGGAGAGGTTGGTTGTTGTGAATCAGGGATGGCAGAGCGAAGCCACTGATGGACTGAAAAGTGCTTGATCTCTCTCTCTCTCTCTCTTTTTCTCTTTCTCTCTTTTTCTTTCTGTTTATCTATATATCTTTCTCTGATTACCTACCTACCTACCTACTGATCTATCTGTTTATCTATCTATTTATCTCTCTGTCTATCTATCTCCCTATGTATTTATCTAGCTGTCTAGTTTTCTAGCTATTTGTCTATCTATCTTTCCATCGATCTATCTATCTATCTATCTACCTATCTATCTATCTATCTACCTATCTATCTATCTATTTATCTATCTATCTATCTATCTCTCTATCTATCTCTCTCTATCTTTCTAGCTACCTATCTATCTATCTATCTATCTGTCTGTCTATCTATCTATCTATCTCTCTCTCTCTGTCTGTCTGTCTGTCTATCTGTCCATCTATCCATCTATCTATCTATCTATCTATCTGTCTCTCTCCCT